TATAAAATCAATTTGTACAATATAAAACAACATATTTGACAATTTTATTATTAATAAAAGTAAAAATATTTTTATTTTATTTCATTGTAATATTGAAAAATATTATGAAATATTGAGTTAATGTACTAATATATTTCGATAGCCATATATTGAATATTAATATTAATAATTAATCTTCGTTTAAAAAAATTTTTTAAATACTTAATTCTTGCATGAATAAATAATCCATATTTTATAGCTGGACGAAAGATGAACAACAACTTTTATAAGATCTTAAGGTTTAATTATTAAACATATTTGTTATTCCTTAAATTTTATTGTTAGAAAATTTGCCTACAATTTTATATTTGCAACAATTGACTTTTTTTATGATACTGTGTAACATTAGCCACAATATTTAATGACCAATCACAAAAGTTTGTAGCTTTCGCCGAGTCAGATGATACGACAGCGTATTTTACTGCAGAACGTGGTTACGCAACTATACAGTATATCATTTTTTTTTTAAAAAAATCCAATACAGTACTTTACTAATATTATGGTTTCAGAAGTGGTAAAAAAATTGATAGAAGCGGCTAAAGGTTAATCTTCAAAGAACACAAGTGTGACTATAACTCACCATAATGTTTTCATTTTCATTTTAACTTTAAATTCAATGTTCATAGATGGTAAATTGAAATCGAATATTTCTTTTATATGCAAAATATCAAATGAGATTTAATCGTGTCATCATTCTTGACTGTTGTAGGCTGTAAGTTGAAATAAAAATATTTTTTTACCTTCTTAAAAAATCACTACAAAATATTTATTTATTGTTTTTCTTAGTCGGTATGAGAATCGACAATGTTTTTGCTATTTATCATAAATGCATACATGGATAAATCCGGTATGTTTCATAAATTGTATTAAAATAAGGTTTTAATGGTATTTATTTCGATTTTTATAGGTCGTAAGTTGAATAGGATCATATTCATTCATTATTCGTTTGCAAAATAATACCAAATATGAATTAAATGTATTATCATTTTTTATAATTGTAGTTGGTAAGTAGAATATAAGATCTATTTTTTTTTTGAAAATAATGAAATGATTTTTAATGTATTAAATGTCGACTATTATAGGATGTAAGTTGCATCCAGAATTTTTTCGTTTTTTTACAAAATTGTATAAAACGAGAATTTATTAATTATTATCTCTTGACTTTATAGGTAGATGTAAAGTTCAAGAAATTATTTTTTGTCTTGTAAATTATGTAAAAATCGTCATTTAATTAATCTTTAAATTCTATAGTTGGGCGTAAGTTAAATACAGGATATTTGCATTATTCGTTTCCTATATAATCATTAAGTGAGATTTGATTGTTTTAATCGCTAATTTTATAGGCCGTGAGTTGAATTCGGTGTATTTCGGTATTATTTTCGTAAAATTATATATAATGAAATTCATTTGTATTCTTATTTTTTTTACTATTGTAGCTGGTAAGTTTAATCCAGAATCATTTCTTTATTTATTTGTAAACTAATATTGATAATTTTAATTGTATTCTTGTTTTTTATGATAGATGGTAAGTTGAAACCATTATGTATTTTTATATTTGTAAAATCATATCAATAATTTTACTTGTATTCATATTTTTTTTATGATAGATGGTATGTTAAAATTATTATACAGTATTTTTTTATTGATTTTGCACAATTATATTAAATACAATTACTCGTATCTTCGTCTTTTATTTATTATAGATTGTAAGTCGAACCCAGATTTTTTTTTTTCGAGCAAAACGACGAAAATATAATTTGATTTGATAATCATCGATATTTCTAGTTTGTAAGTTAAATATATACAAATTATTTCTGTTCAGATACTTATAATTTTTTAAAGGATATTAATTAATAGTTGACTTTCTAGATTGTGTAAAAAATAATGCGATTTGATTTTTTGTACTGAATTCATTATTATTATTTCTATTATAGACAGTAAGTTTCATTTAAGATATATTTGTATTTTTGTTTCATTGAAATATGGTTTGATTATATCTCTTTTTATTATAGAATGTAGGTTGGGTCGGAATAATTTCCTCATTTATTTGAGTAAGAATTAGAGAATTAATTATTTGATTGTTTTTATATTGCAGACGGTTAGTTGAATTCAAAATATACTAAATACTTCGTAGAGATCATTGAAAAATAACTGTATTAATTCTCGAGTTTCATAGTGGGTAAGCAGAATCCGGTATTTATTCTTTTTATCGTTAAATCAAATGTGGTTTAGTGTATTCATTTTTTTTCTCTTTAGATTGTAAGTTAAATACTGGATAAATTTTTTTGCAAAACCATATGTAATTTACTTAATTGTGTCTTTATGTGTGATTTTTTTTATAGATTGTAAGTTAAATATAGAATACATAGTTTTGCAAAATCATACGTAATTTGCTTAATTGTATCTTTATATTATGCCATTGCAGATTGTAAGTTGATACTACGTATACATATTTGTTATTGTTTTATAAATAACATGATGAATTTATTTGTATTCTTTGTTATTATAGCGGGTAAGTTATATTCAGAATATGTTGAATATTTTCCGAAATCGTATGGAAGTAAATTAATATGGATTTGTTATTATAGATTGTAAGTGTATCTGAAATATTTTGATCATTTGTTTTTTAAATTACATAAAATGTAATTTACATAATGATACTAATTATACTCTTGTGAATTACTATTGTAGATAGTAAGTTTGATCATGCCAATTCATTATTTCTTAAAATAATGCAAAGTATGATTTAACTTAATAAATTAATTGTGTTATTGATCATTAGATTTTGTAGCGAGTAAGTTGAATCAAGACAGCTATGATATTTGTTTTTTTTGTAAATAATGTGAATACCTTTTGTTTTATTATCTTTTTATTTCAATGAAATCTTATGAGATGAAATTTATTTTTATTATATCATTACTATTATACCTGCGTTCTTCCTTTTTTTTTTTTGTTATACTTGTAAAATTTTAAATAGGGGCCTTACTTATTACTTTTTGTTATTTTGTAGGCGGTAATTTACATTAAATACATATTTTTGAAATCATACGAGAAGACTTATATTGTATAATTCTTTAGGTTTAGCACTATGTGGGTAGATTTTTGGTTTATATCATTTACTTTCCGGATATAGTAAGTTTTATTCTGATTATTTTTCCCATTTTTTATATTCACGAAAATTATTATAGGGAGAATCTGTAACCAGTGTAATAAGAACACAATAACTAATGCTTGGTGCCAACCTTGCAACTCTTTTCGTTTTCAGCAAAGTTTCGATAATTGGAAAAGCGGAAATAATAATATTGATGAATTTATAAAGGAAATCCAGACAATGGCATCCAATAGATATAGAATTCTTGAGTGGATTCCATATTCAAAATTGAAAAATGTAAAGCCTATCGCTAAAAGCAAATTTAGAGAAGTTTATTTGGCCGAATGGACTGAAGGAGAAATTCTTTACTGGGATGCTAGAAATAGTCAGTGGAAAAGAAAGGGGAATAAATACGTTGTGTTGAAATGCATCGAGGATTCGAAAAACATACTTGACCAAGTTTTAAATGAGGTTATAATAATTGATAAATTATTTTAGTGCTAAGTGCAGTTTATTATAAATTTACATTACTAACTTGTTTCTTAACATCACATAATAAACTCCCAGATGAGAAGCTTTTTCAGTTGCACTAACCACAGATTCCCATTCACACGTTGTTATGGAATCACCCGACACGAAAAAACAAATAATTTAATGATTGTTATGCAATCTATTGACCTTGGAAGTATTAAAAACATCACAGGCCAATTTAAAGAAATGAATTATGGACAGAAACTTACTATGCTGCGTCGAATCGCAGAAGGCCTACTTCAATTGCACGAAGCTGGATTAATTCATCGAAATCTTCATAGTGGGAATATTCTTTTATCTGAAGACTATTTAACTTATATAACAGACATAGGCTATTATAAGGTTGTTAATGACTCTGGAAATAAAAATATGCATGGCGTACTCCCGTATGTAGCACCCGAGGTTTTACGTGGAAAGGAGTATACGAAAGAAGCTAATGTATATTCATTTGGAATTATTATATTGGAAATATTATCTGACGTTCCTCCTTTTCCTAATATCCCACACGATAACGATTTGGCGACTAAAATATGCGATGGATTACGACCTGAAATTCCTAATTACCTTCCGGATTTAGTAACTTGCCTAATACAAAATTGCTGGGATGATGAACCGCAGAATCGATTAAGTGCACATGAACTATTTCATATTTTAGATGCGTGGAATAATTATTTGCCACATTTTATAGGTTCAACACTTGATAAACAGCTTATAGAATCCAAAAGAATGATAGTAAGTAATTCAATTGTTATAACTGTTTTTTATTAAACTAGTTGTAAAACATAATGATTATGAATTTCATTTAATTTCAATCATATTATTGTTCTTTCTTAGGAACTTTATCAATGAATATATTATGATTTTTTTAAAAAATAGTTTTTTTAGTGATTTATTTATTGTTCAAATTTTTACTTCGATGTTAAACGGGCAAATATGTCACTACCTTAGGATCAACACTGTTAAAGTAGAAAATTTTATACTTGTACTTGCCAGAAATAATATAATCAAATAACCCATTTTTAGTTATTTTCATAGATACTGTAATTATTTTTCTGTATCCGTCAGTTTAAAAGTATGCAATTATAGAGGTTACACAAGGTATGACATCATTCGCGTGCCTAACTAAAATAGCGAAACGGTGATTTCTATTGCATGTTATAGTTACAATTAATTATTCTAACAACGTACGGTATTCTGCACCTATTCGTAAACACCATTTTTATTGTGCATTAAAACAATATTTTTATAACTTCTTGATTATTTATTTAATTTAATGCGTGAAAGTACTTAAAACATTGTATTGTACTTGTGCCAGTGGCTGGAAACTTGGCAAAAGACAATGCATGTGACGAAACACCGGGTATTTAGTATTTATTTAATATAATATTATGGTTACAGGTTATAAGGGAGCATTGTTACCACATTTAAAATTTAATTTTTAATACCATTTTTAAAATAATTTGCAAAAATAATTCTTTTTTAGTTTTAATCAATATTAAAGAACTGTGGACAAAAAATTTCTTATTTTTAAAAATTACAAATTAAAATGAATATACTGTATATTTTAAACAGTATTCTGCAAGGTCCTGAACCTGAATAAACAAACCTTAAACTGATCATTCTTGACACATCTCTAATAAGATTGCTTGAATCCAGAAAAGATACTCAATTTCTATTAAACCTAATATTCCATTATATTTCTATATCATTATCTTGCTTCTTTCTAGCTATCTATTTTATTTCTTTAGTATTAACCAATTAATTCCTTATGAATTTTTATCCATTTCATTCTTTACTACTATCTATACAATTTATTATCTAGTCATATTTATTTATTATTTACTCTGTCATGTCACAGCTAGTTGCTTTATTTACCTTCTATTACTTATTTCTTTTTATATTTCTCTACTAGTACTTCCATAATAAATCATGTGACAAATGGCATTGCAAGTTTATTTTCACTGTAGTTATGTTAAAAATCACAAGATTAATATGTTTATTATCATATTAACTTTATTTATAAAAAGAATGTCTTTATTTATACATGACCATATATTTGTTTTATCTACACATACATGTTATATATATATTTATTCTTTTCTGTTTCCTACCTATGGGAAAAAACAAGGACAAGAAAAATAAATGAATAAAAATAGAAATGGATGAATGAAACGATATGATAAAAATAACTTAAATTAATGCAAAGAATACATAATTAGAAGTTTTAATTTAAAACGATGACAGCTGAAAAAATACAATGTAAATAAAAAAAAGCAATAAAAAAGAATATATAAACGGCAATTAAAGAAACAAGTTAGCTTCTATGTTTAGTAAGAATAGCCTTTTAAATATTATTAATATAAGTAGAATATTTATAAAAATATATTATTAAAGAATTTATTGTTTCGTGTTAATATTTTGAATCTAAAAAACCGTTTGTTACGTGAACTACCCACATTTGAGATTTTAAATTATAAATTTATTGGATAATTAACAAATTTAAAATATTGATATAAAAATTTTTATAAAAGTATTAAAATGAAATATAGTTTTCTATTTATTAAATTGGTTGGAATTGATAAAACTTTTTTATGATAACAATATAGATTAAATTTTTTATGAATATAAATAATATTTGAAATTGATTAAAATGAAGGCTTATATATATATTTTATAGGTGCAATACATTGTGATTTTAAATTTTTGTAACTTATGTAAATCACAAAGAATTTGCAAAAAAAAATATGTATTGTTACGGTTACTTGTACAATCTTAAAACTCATTAACATTTATCATATATGTATTTGTTCTGGTTTTGTTTTTATAATTATATTAAAAGTATTATATGAATTCTCATTATTTATAGCAACTATGGTATATTTTTGTAATAATATTTTTTAAAAATTTTATTTTAAAAAAGATTATCAATACAGACTATCAAATGTTTAAAACATAAAAGTAACAATGTAATCTTTAAGAAATTGAATGGGTTTTTTAATTCTAGTGCTCTTTTAAATCTTTTCTAAAATGCAAATTGAATAATACATTTCAAATTTTGTTTTGAATAAATAATGTTCAATTGTTTATATTATTTATTACTGACTTTTGTTTTTATTAAATATATTAGAAAGTTTTATTATAAACGCTCATTATGTTTCGATTAATCGATCGTCGATTAAAAGCTTTACGAATTAAATTAATTTTTATAAAGCAATAATTTCTTTCAATTGCATTATTGCAATATTTCCAATTTCATAACCCACAATTTTCTATTGACTCACTATAATTGCAAATTCAAAGGAAAAGCATAACTTCTTTGTAAATTAAATTGCAAAATAAATACACTATACGTATTTATTTAATTTTCTGTATATGCAATAAATAAATAAACAACAAATCATAAAACATATATATAAAGTATATACTACTGTATAAATATATGCTAATAAACCGGTTGATATTAAACTGATATAATAAAAACAAACATATTGTTTTTTATACTGCGATCTTGATTCTGTGGCTATTTATCCTTCTGACAGGCTGATCTTAGATTTGTCTAACATTTTAAGATTTTCTCGTGCAACTCTCCATTACGTCTTTCCAAATAATGTCGATCTCCATTCAGATCTATGGAAAAATATTATTGAATGAATAGAAATTGCATGGTAGGTTAACCAAAATAAGTTAAATAATTATGTTACTTTAAATTTTTGTATTATTATACGGTAGATGATTACCGACTCTTCTTTCACGTATTCTATTTTTACGTTCATCTAGCCTGTTTTGCTCAAACTAGAATGCACAAAAAAGGATTACAGATTATAAGAGAGTTTTGATAATTGATTGCAAATGAAGATAAGAATGCATTGCAACAGATTAGAAAGCAAGAATTTGTATAGAGAACCATTTTTAGTCATTCGCCTGGATTGAATGAGAGTTTATTAATGTGCCTAATATTTATATTCTAATACTTTGAGAGATCAGTATATTCTGTGGCATATTTGAAATGTTTCATGATAATGAACCTCGGTTGCACCTGATTCTTGTGAGAGATTTTGTATAAAAAAAAATTGGTCACATAAAAATACGTAATTAATTAACGTAAGTATGGTCACGTCTCTGAATAGTGAAATACTGCGTTGATTTTCGCCTTTCTTTAATCAGTTACTGTTAGTTAATGTACGTGCACATGAACGAAATGAGACAACTAATATATTTTTTCATGTTATGTAATATTAAATATCAAATTTATATTTGAAGTGAAATTAAGGCGATTCAAACTTTTGACACGAAAACAACGTATTTAAGGAGCCAAAATCGACTCTTTATACCCAGGTTTTCACGATGAACTCTCAAACTCCTTACAATATCACCACCAGCATTCGGAATGCTTCGTACAATCCTGCGCAAACCCCCCCTTTTCAAGGGCAAAACCCTCGTTCGGAGGTTAATCCTTCAAATCAATTTGATATTATTAATGGAAATACCTTTTCTCAACCAAAATCGATTGTGAAAGAAAAAGATTTCGTGGAATTTTTACTTAATGGCGACAGCAATGAGTGAATAATATTATGATTTCAATTTTGTTGTCAACACTCTTTTGTAAAATTTATCTTTACGTAACGTTTCATCCGATTTTGTTTAAAAATACCGACTTTTAATTTTTGAACCCGCCTAAAAAATATATTACGTTATTTTTACTTTTCTTTCGATGTTCTTCGTTTAAAAACCTCCGATTTTAATTTTCGAAGCCCATAAAAAACTTTGTTATTGTAATTGTTGCTTTCTTTCGACTTTTTTCGTTTTAAAAACCCGAAGTTAAATTTCGAATTCTCGATTATTTATTTATTTTTATTACTTATTTTGTTGCTTTTCTTTGTATAAAATATTTTTTCGCTATTTTTTCTTCAAAGAAATACAATGTATCCATTCGCCCTCCTTATTTTATAGCTTTTGCAATTAAGAACGTTTTTTCTGCTTGCTTGAATATACAGTATATATGTTACTTTCGCTTCGATGAATTTTTTTCCTCTACGTATAATCCCCTTTTCGTTTTTTTAACATACATGTATTGAGTGGCATGCCGATTTTTAAATTTAACATATGATAAGCCTTTAATAAAACTTTCACTTTGTGCACAATACTATGATCAAAATTAACAAAGATACAGTTATTCACTTCAGGATATCAAAAATATTCTATATTTTGTGTGAATATTTTGCTAAAATTGCGATGTTGTATTTCATCCTGTGTAAAATAGTCAATGGCACAAAAGTATGGATTCTGATCGGTTTTAATCGGTCCTAACCAATCGATCCCAAAGAAATTACTTGTTACAAAAATAATTTTTTTTATCGCGAGTTACTAATTGTATATGATTAGAACAGTTTTTTTTTATCAAGGTTTCTTATTAGAGAAAAATGAAAAGCTTTTCTATGGTTTAAGATCTCTTAAAGCATAATGTCGGAATTGTAGCTTTTTTAAATATAGTTTTATTTAAAAGTCATTAATAAAACTCTATTTTTTAGCCAAATACAGTAACGGGGATTGTTTCATATATTATTACTTACAATTGTATTTCAATAAAGATTATTTGTTAAAGATAAACTATTGGATTCATCTAAAATTCATGATTTAAAAAAATCATTTTTTTGTTGCAGGATCGATTAATATTCCTAAACAAAAGCCATTTCTAACAAAAAAAATCACAGCATTATTGTACGTATTCAAAAAATATTTACCTTTGTAACGTTTTTTGAAATAACACCAGGTTTCTTGCAAATGTAAAATAAAACAAATACTACTCTTTATTATTATATATACAGTAAACAAATATAACTTAAATTATAATCGATGTTACCTAAATTATTATTGATATTACTTATTTTCATTTCCTTATTGATCAATAAGTAAAAACAAACCCTGTTTGGCAAAAATGTTGCCGTCCAACTTTCGTATTGTATCATGCGCTTACGTTATTATTTATCTTAATGTGGTAGTTGGTTATAGAACAGAGTAAAAGAATAAACTCAACATAAGTCAATAGAAATAGTTACGTTGTTTGGTCCGTATAATCCGGATACGCTGTAGTTTCTCTCAGGATTCTCACAAGTCTCCGAAGGTGTAACCTCCTATTACGTAATGTCTAGTTTTGCGGGTCGGATCGCATATTGCGTAACTCTCCGATGCGGTAAGCACTGTAACTTATTATGGGCCCTGTCAATTTCCTTAGGCAAATCTAGTCCTGTCATTTAGTTGTAATACTAGTTACAAGTCTGATGCACGTGAAACTAGGGGTTTATATAATATGCAAGATTTTGACACAGTACATGTCTTTTCTCACCATTATTTCTATTCTGTTCTATTTTCTTCTTGTATGGTTTTTTAGAACGAGTTGATCTTCCTTTTTTATCTGTATTCCTATTGCAACATGATATTTTTTTCTTTTTTAAAAATGTATCAACCTAAATATATGAGCTATCATATATAATGACACTAGTGGATTGTCATTGTTTCCATATATAGTTAACGTTATGACGATACAGTATTAGACACATTCTCGGAATCCTTAAAGATTTAAAATGGTTCGTCATATTTAAGAACATGCCAAACAAAAATTTACGAAGTTACTCGTAGTACCATGTTTAAATAATATCCTAGTTTTCTTCAGGTCGCTTTTTCATTCTCTATATAATTTTTTTTTCTCGTTGTTATTTTTTAAGCAACATTTTTCCTTTGATTGTTCGTAAATAACAGGAAGTTAATTACAAATAAATGTTCTCTCTCTCTTTATTTCTTTTTAAAGTTAGAACAACGACAGTATTGGAAATTTTTTAAAACCCCTGCAGTAATCGTATAGATCATTGTACAGATGCATATAGAAATATAACTATCACTGTCATTAGTTAAGCCCACATGCGATGCGTACGTAGTCCTTTCGACCAATTCATCCCTACTCGATTTTTAGTTATCATCCTTTTACCTTCTATTTTATTTATTAAATTAACTTTCAAGATAAATACCATTTACTTTGTTGCATGCTTTTCTAGTAGTCTTAAATGCCGGAATCATAATCCGAAGTCATATGAAATTGTACAGGTAATCAAGAATATGTGCACTTTCCTGTGACCTAAAATCCTTCATTCTCCTATCCGAATAAGTTTAGTCGAGTTAGTGAACGTTTTTATATCAATAAATCTCTTAATATAATCAATCAAGCATACGAAAAAAAGTTCATGATAATAAGAACTCCGAAAGACCCACCGCTATCAAAACCTTTGATAACTTTCTAAAATAACCATTTTATTTCTTTTGGTAAGATTATTTCGTGAATATCGCTACATAATAATCTAAAATTTTAGTTAACATATTACTAAGAAATACTAGTCACTGATTCTTATTGAAAATCAAGTTTTGGAAGATAAAAATTGTTTTATGATCCTTCTTATTATTAATTTTATCTTTTCTGGCTAACCAAAAATGACTAGAAATAGTATAAAAAGAACGATTTCTGAGTAATGAAGAAGTTTCGATTTCTTTGTTCTGTTGGTTTTTTCTCTCGAAAGAGGCAGAGTTCTAAAAACATCGCATTTTCATATCTTTTTCACATAAAATTATAACCTGTATTTAGTAGTAATTGTGGTCGGACCTAATCTCCGTGACTTTGTAATCTATAATTAGTCACTGCGGTACTAATTTACATATATACTGTAACTGTGATCGGCGAGTCTGTCGCTAAGGAAAGTTCAGATTCGCGTAACGATGGTAAGTGTTTTTATTATGGTGAGGCGGAATTGATGTTGGTCGAAAAACTTTTCTAACCGGACTTGATTTCCTTTTTTATTTATTCGATTTCTTCTTTCCTTTATACATTCTTGCACACTTATTACATAATAAAAATGATAAATACAAATTAAGAAAAACTATAAATATTCTTATGACGAAGCAATTGTTATTTGATTTTCACACTACTCTTATTACATAATTCTATTGTTCGATCCCATAGTGCCATGATCGATCCTTGCACGACCCGGTC